TCTGTCCCCTTCCAGACTCACGGGCACAAGCAGGCCCTGGCTACAGTGATTCAGCTTTTTCAGGCATCACCTCTGTGGGTCCCCCATACTATCTGTGAAGGTCCAAGTCTTTCCTGTGGTCTTGTGGTCAGCAGGCACCCAAGGAAATCAGAACATGGCAGTGGCTCTCACCAGAACAACATCTGTATTGTTTTCTTTCCTCTGACTCTTTGATATCTTTTGTCTGACTGTGAGGGCAAAGAGTTGTGAGCCAGACTCCCCTTCATTGCCTCTGCAAATTCTGCATGTGCAGGCCTGCTTACACTTACCTTGCATCCTGATATCTACTGTATTTGTGTCACAGTGGCAATGAGGCAGGAAAAGTTCTGTTCTATAAGTCTCTTGTACATCTGCCTTTTCATTCATTTCTTGCCAACACATGAAGGATCATTTTATGTATTTTTTCTTTTCTTTTTTTTTTGAGACAGAGTCTTGCTGTGTAGTTCAAGCTGGCCTTAAGGTCACTAGAAGTTCAGGCTGGACTCGAACTTACAACCATTCTCCTGTCTTTGCCTCCCAGGTTCTAGTATTACAGGCATGTGTTGCCATACCCAGCAGAAGTATCATTTCAATCAGTGCAACATTTACATTTATTTCCTCTTTCCCTTGTTTTAAGCATTCAGTTATTTCTAATTTTATTATTATCAATCATGTTATTATGAATGAGTTGTTTTCAAAATGGCTATGTCCACAGGCTACCTAATTATGATGCTTAGCTGGAAATGCAGAATCAGAAAGAAACCAGAGGTAGCACTGGTCCCTTCACTAGGGAAATTTTGCAAATGAACTATCCCTGGGAAAGCAGAGTTGTTGTTGTTGTTGTTGTTGTTTTTTGTCTTTTTCATTTTTATCGGTACCAAGGATCGAACTCATGACCTCCTGCTTGCAGAGCAGGTGCTTATGCCGCTGAGCTAAATTCCCAGCCCCGGAAAGCAGAGTTTTGTTTGTCTAGAAGCCTCAAGATGTCTGTAAATAGATGGGAAGGAGCTAGTGGAATGGGATAAATGAGAGAGCAAGATCCTGGTTTTAGCGAAAAGTGACAAATGGAAACAAGCAGAAAAGAGACTAAGTAAAGAAGAGAGGAAAAAAAGATACAGGATAGAAAAGTTATCAGAAAGGGTAAACATGCCTAAAGAAGCTTATAACATGATTTTAAAATTTCTATTCAAACTATCTGCTGACAGGAGAAAGATGAGGCTGTGACTTAGGACTTAGAATTATGAGTGTTGTTTTATTATTACTTAAAAAATAATGGAGCTCACTGAATCCCTTACTACTCAAATTATGACCTGCAGCATTGGTATTACTAGGGAACGTGTGTGTGTGTGTGTTAGGGATTGAACCCAGGTCCTTGCACACACTAAACACAAGCTCTCCCACTAATTTATACCCCTACTTGGAACTAGCATTTTCATTCAGATCCCCCTGTAATAGTATTGCCCGTTCAGGTTTCAGAAGTACTCCCACAGCCCACATTCTCCACATTAATAGGGGAGAATGAAGGCTCTCGATTAGTTGTCTTTTCAGGTTGAGACTGCAGAGGCTGGGTCAGCTCCTTCAGGAAATTAGTGCAAGATGAAAAAAGGACCTTCAAAGGAGAATGAAGCTCCAATAGTGTGATATTATGACTTTCTCAGCAGTATTGTGTTGTACAGGAAGCAGTATGGAAAAGGTGGGCACACAGGAGGTAAAGAGAATGAAAGAGTTTGCACTGCTCATGTATACCGCTCGCAAGGTGTTGGGGGATGGACTGAGCTAGATGGAGATGGGCAATAGAGGCTTGGAAAGGTCAGGCCTGAGAACTGGTGAAGGAACTGCTTTTTGGGCTGAGGGAGTGGAACAGGTAAGGCTGTTGTGGTCCATCTTTAAAGTCTGGAATCTTGAGACTAGTATTACATACTCAAAAAGATCCCTGTTGGCCATCTCACAGGAGGCCCAAAGATCATCACAGTAAGACGTTAAGAATGAGAACAAAATATGAATGGATTTCACAAACAAAATGCAAACAAAATCTGTGATAATATGCTCTGTTGCTATCTGTAAAGCACAAACTGTTCAATACTAATTTCCGAAATAAACTTCCTGTGGTGTATCTGTGAAAAAAAGATCACATGGTTGACTGAAAAAAAAAAAAAAAGGCTTTTATCTGCGTAAAGCAGCAATTCTTCTTTAAACTTTCACTTCAAAAACATGGTCTGACCAGAGTTTATTTCCTTAGGAATTAAGAGATCAGAGAGCCTGACTTGGAAAAGAGCCATTTCATCAAGGACTTCATTACTCCTGGCAGAATGGATTAAGTCCCAAAGGATATGACCTTTGGTTTGAGCCAATAACTATTATCAGGGACACAGCTTCCTGGAACACAAGTTTCCCTCTGATCACAAGCAAGCCTTGCATAGAAGTCTGCGTGTACGGCTATGTGGGTAGTATTTTATGGTGTACAGCAATCCTCTATTTAAGCTGGCTGACTTTTTTTATGAATTTATAATACTATGATTGCATAATAAACTACATTAGGAAAAAGGGGTAAAAACTAAAAGAACAAGTAAAAGTTTTCATTTTTTTTGTCAGGTAAAACAGAACATGTTACAAAAGAATTTACAGAGAATGATCCTTTTAAAAATGGATGTATAAGTACAAAAAAGTAGCCATGTATGTGCATAAAAATGACAGCAATAGACTGTTCAGCTGTGGAGAGAAGACAAAAAAGGCAGACTTTGGATTCTAGGAAAACATCATGAAAAGAGAGAAAAAGCCAAAAATGAGTTATTGCTAAAGGAGTAGTAACATAGTTCAGCTTAGGTAACAAGTTTGGGTGAGACTCACCTTTTTGACGGCTTGCCGAGGCCATCTTCAAAGGACCCTGCTTCGTGGGTGTAGATGCTCTAGCCCATTCTCCAGCCCAGGACTCCCACTGTGCTCCAGAAGAGCCAAGTGGACAGAACTGTCAGGGAATTCCATTGCTACCCATCACAGACACTGAGATTCCGAGCTGATGTAGTCACAGAAGGACTTTAAATACTTAGATGGAGGCTGAATTTGATCCTAACTAGAGTCCAGCACATTTGAGAGTGATAAGGCCAATATGACCTAGTCTCTTAAAAAATGAATTTATTTCTGAAACATATTCAATATTAAAGCCCTGACCAGTGGTCTCAAGTGTTTGCTTCTTAGATAAGATTTTAAATAGCAAAAAGATTAAGTGGGATAGGCATTTCAAAGTAGTTGAAATCAATTCAACATCAAATTTGTTAGAGCTACCAAAAACCCTGACATGTTACTACTCTTTGTAAGAAATTATTATGATTATCTTAGTAACTCAATCTTTTTGGTAAGAATTATTCATCTGAGCATATTCTCTAGTAGCAAAGCTATTTTTAGCTTTAGCAGTGACAGTTGACTTCCTGTTCAATTCCCAGTTGAAAGCACATGGTAGCAGGATGTGGTGCATGCCTGTAATCTCAGCACTCTGGAGCCTGAGGCAGGAGAATCATTGTAAGTTCAAGACCAGCCTGAGCTACAAAGTGAGCTCAGGGCCAGCATGAACTGCATAACGAGACCCTGTCAAAAAGAAAAAAAAAGCGAGTAAGCAAGCACATGGTGTATGGTGTACGGTATATGGTATATGTAGAGTCTGTGGAAGTACTTGTCAGATCAAATATTGCTGACAAAGAACAGACTTGAGAAGATGTCAAAAAATGTTGAAACAGCACAGAATGGAGATTATGCAAGAAATTTTAAAGATTATTTCTCGGGATTGACTACATTTGCTTATCTGTGTTGTTGTCTCTTGGGTTTTCTTTCATCCCATCATTTTCTATGGCTTCTTCTAGGTAGATCTCCAAATGTGAACAGGTTTATATGGTATACATCTAAGTAGACTACTTGTCACTGGTTGGGATAGGACAGGACAGGGAAGAAGCACGTTTTCTTTCCCTTCTTCTCAAGTGTCAAATTCCTTTTTTACTCTGTCTCCTGTAGGGCTGCCAGACTGTACTAATGCCTCATTTCCCAGCATCCCTTAACCTCTAAATCCTCACTGCAGATGGCCAGACTTAGCAAATATTAATATAGGATGTCTGTTAAATATGAATTTCAGGTCAACACTGTAGAAGTACATCCCTGTAGTACTTGGGACAAACTTCTAAAAATTCAGATTTTATGGGGAGTCTCACATTTTATCTGGCTATCTTGCTCCCTCCTTGTGGGTTCCAGAAGCTGCCTAGTGTCTAAGCTGGAACTCTGTCTGCTTATGTCTCAGTCCTGAAACAATACTTGGTTCTGAATACCACTATTCCATCAGTTGTCTATGCTCCCATATTGCTGGCCATCCTCACAAAAACTCCCTTAGATGCTTGTTAGTCTATGAATTCTGAACTGATGGAGGATGGAGGATGATACCAGGTGTGGGCTCCATTTAGCTTCTGCCCAACCAATGATTTTGATTTTTTAATAAATAGCAAATGAAGATGCCCTATAGTGGACTGGAATTCAGGTGCTTAGAGCATGTACTCTTTTGATGAAACTAAACTCTACGAGCCAGGTGTGGTACTGCATGCTTGTAATCCTAGCACTTGGAAGGCCCAGGCCAGCCTGGGCTACACAGTGAAATCTTGCCATTATGAATGTACTTAACAGTTAGGTTAGTGATGGGCCTTTAATATCAGCTATTTCAGGGCTGATGAAGACTCTGTTAAGCCCAGGCGCTTGAGATCAGCCTGAAAAACGCAGCAAAAACATCTCAAAACAGAGTGATGCATGAGGCTATCAGCAAAGAAAAGAACTAATACAAACACCTGTGATACTTTTACAGTGCCCAGGGACAGTAAAAATAAGTGAAAAAAATTTTGGAGCTAGATTAAGGAAACCATAATTATATCAAAGTGCAAACCTGAAAAGCTTAGTATACAGAATAAGGCACCTCAGATGAGGTAGTTCCAATGCAACTCTGAGAGAACAGATTCTGGCTTTTCTTGTAAAATTTGCTCTTTATTGGGTCTGAGAAATGCAAGAGGAAAAAACAGGATAAATTCAGAACACCAGAGGGAAGAACAAAGTATTTTAAGAATACTTTAGGAATTTCTACAGAATATCCCCTAAGTAAATCCCCTTCTCAGTTTCAAGTGGCAGAATCAATGTCCTTTCAAAGCCTTCATTATTCGTGACTTGAAAAATTCTATCAATCTGGGGCATAGTTTTTGTTTTGTTTGTTTTTTGGTGACACTGAATATTGAATCATTTTGAGTTACACCCTCAGGCCTACTATTAAGTGGTGATGATAATGATGATGATGATGATGATTTTATGGCATTGTGAACTGAATCCAGGGCCTGCACACTGAGCTGCTTCCCCAGCCCTTCTTTAAAATTTTGAAGTAAGTGGTTAAATTACCCATGCTGGGTCATCCTTCTGCCTCAGTCTCCCAGAGTGATGGATATATCTGTGTCTATCTACATCCATGCCAAGGCACTGATTTTCAGTGTTCAGTGTAATGAATTCTTTTGGCTGTACTGGGGAGGGGTGGACTCAACCAAGGAGCCTGTACTTGCTAGGCAAGTATTCTACCACTAAGCTACATTCCCAGTCTCTTTCCTGTGTTTCATTTTGAGACAGTCTTGTTTGTACATGCAGTCTTGTCAGCCTCTGAGTAGCCTGGATTACATGTATGTACTACCATATCCATATCCCAGTGTGATGGATTTGGATTAATGTATACACACACCTATGTTATCAGTGTACAGAACTTTCTACCACCGGATTTTCCATACCATCTGGTTTTTGCCTATATTTGCAGTTAGGAGGATTAAACCCAGGGCCATGACCATTCTAGACATGTGCTTTATTGCTGAACTACATTGTCAGCCTTAGTTTTGCCTGTTCTTGAATATTAACTCATATCCTATAAATGGGTAAGGAAGGAAGTGTCATAGAGGGCAGACATAGACATTTTTATGCTGAAACCTGGGGCCAGTGACATGAGTTGGCTAGCAAGAGGCTTTAACTGAGAGGCAGAAGTTAAAATTTAAGCAGGTTGTTAAATTAAAACTGATGAAATGAAAAAATTGGGTGCTGTAATGCATGACTGTAGCCCCATTTATTTAGGAAGCTGAAGCAGGAGGATCAATCTAACCCTTAAAAGTTTAGGGCCAGACTGCCCTTTTTTTTTGGTACTGGGGATCCAACTCACAATTTCATGCTTACCAAGCAAGCACTTGTGCCACTGAGCTAAATCCCCAGCCCAAGACTCTAACTTAAAAAAAAAGTTTGCAAAGTGGTGATGCAATTTGGAAAATTGTTTATAATTTGAATTCTAAAATGAAGAAGAAACGGTGGGACTAGAAGGTGCAAGTAGCAAAATGGAGTTGCAGAACAGTGAAGCTGGAGGAGAAACACAGGCTTCTTGTGCTCTGACTGCTCCAATTCTGGATGAGTTCTCAACACCAAGTTTTGAGGCAACACCAGCTGGGATCAACCTGCTAACATAAAGTACCTAGAGCAAACAGTGTTCATAAACTTCTGTGTTCAGAGGGAGGAAATGGCCTAAATGAGCGCGGGCCTCAGAGCAGAGTGCGGCCAGGAGAGCCCAAGCACCAGTGCAGGCGGAGGTCATCGAGTCCTGCGGTGGAGGCACAGCCACTTTGTGGGTACCTCATAGGAGTACCGCTCCACCAGGTCTGAATCATACGGGATGTGCCAGGAGTCGCCAGTCGTCTGCACTACCGTGTCATAGCTGAGAACAGGCTGTCGAATGAAGAGAACCAAACAGTGAGAAAAACAGTTAAGGATACCCTGTCACCTGGTTAATTTCTCTTTCTTTTCAGAAAACTTCTCAGCTTGCTTTGGAAGAACAGTACCTATCTTTTTTAAAAAATTACGTTTTTTGGTAAACATAGACATACACAGTGATCACATTCATCATAGGCAATTTGACCTATACATGATATATTTTAGTTCCTCTTTTTTTCCCATCCCTCTTCCCTGCCTTCGACCCTTCTCCTCCTCCTTTTCTGTCTTACTTAACCCTGGAGTTTCTTTCTTTTTTTTCTTTTTTAACGGTACTGGAGCTGGGTCAGCCTGCACTACATAGCAACACACTATCTCAAAACAAAACAAAGCAAAACAAAACACAGAACTGGAGTTTGAATATAGGACTTTTGGTCTAAGCTATACCTCCAGCCTTTTGAAATTTTCTTTTTTGGTACCATGGATCGAACTCAGGACCTTGTGCTTACCAGGCAGGCACTTAGGCCGCTGAACTGTATGCCCAGTGCTTTTGAAATTTTTAAAAAACTTTTTGTTATTCATTTTTTTTGTGGAACCAGGGATCGAACTCAGGACCTTGTGCTTGCCAAGCAGGTGCTTATGCTGCTGAGCTAAATCCCCAGCTTTTGTTTGTTTATTGAAATAGGGTCTTGCTATGGACTGTATGAAATGCAAACCGGCCTTGAATTTGCTATGTAGCCCAGGGTGGCCTTGCACTTGTGGCAATCTTCCCGCCTCCACTCCTGAGTGCTGGGATTACAGGTGTGCATCACCACACGTGGCCACCATGAAATTTTCAAAGAGCGTGAACTCTGTGAAGATAGTGTTAGACGAAAGAGGATCCTTTCTGAGCAGGTTCATTTTCAAGGTTAAGGACCCCCTGTAGGAGCATCACATTTATAAGTTACAGAATCCTTTGGTTGCCTTTATTGGTTTTACGTGTGAAAGGGAAAAACTTCAAATATACTAAGGCAGAGTAATATTATAATAAACTCCCATGTGCTCATCGCCCAGTCTCACCATTCCCAACTCACAGTCACCTTACACCAGCCGCACTTCACCCACCTCCTTGCCCCACTCTCTCCATTTGGATGATTTTAAGCAAATCTCACACATCATTTCTTTTGCATTATTTCACTGTGTTATTTGAAACAATAAAAGATTTGTTTTGCAAGTGGAAGTGTAACACCACTATTACACTTAAGAAGTAATCATTTCTGGCTGAGGAGTTATTGCAGAATATGTGCAAGGCCCTGGGTTCAATCCCTGGCACCAAACCCAACAAAAACAATACGACAGAATAATTAATAACTCCTTAACACTATTACATTTGTTTGCATTTCCTCAATTATTATGTTTGTGTACGTACATTTTATAGTTTCTTTGAATGGAAATTGAAATAAGGTTTTACATGTGACAGGTTGAAATATCTCTTAATTCTCTTTTAATATAGACCTTCTCTTCCCACCCTTATTTTTCTTTCTTCTTCTTTTTTTTTTTTTTTTTTTGTCGTTTTGAGAGTCTTTCTTGCAGTTCAAGCGGGTCTTGAGCTCACTTTGTAGCTCAGGCTGGTCTTAAACTCGCAACGATCCTCCTGCCTCAGCCTGTCGAGTGCTGGGAATACAGGCATGAGCCAGGCTCCACCCCTATTTTTCTTTCTTGTTTTTTTTATTCCTGAGGAAACCAGACTGGTTGTCCAGTATCGTTTCCTCTGATACAGTCCTGATGCTGTTGATGAAATCCCTTTGGTATCATTTTGATACCATGTTTCCTATAAATTTGTTTTGCATTTTATTTTTAAAATTAACAAATGAAAATTATTTATATTTATTGTGTTCAATATCATATGTTGAAATGTATATATTGTGAAATGGCTATACCGAGCTAATTAACATATAAATAACCTCACCAATTTATCATTTTTTGTTGTGAGGACATTTAAAATCTAGTCTCTTAGCATTTTTTTTTTATCTGTCTTTTTTGTTTTTATCGGTACCAGGGATTGAACTCACGACTGCCTGCTTGCAAGGCAGGCGCTTATGCCGCTGAGCTAAATCCCCAGCCCCTCCCTTAGCATTTTTTAAGAATACAAGCTGGATATGGTGGTACATGTCTGTAATGCCAGCACTTGGGTGACAGAGGCAGGAGGATGACTGAGTTCGAGGCCAGCCTGAACTACTAATTGAGACCCTTTCTCAAAGAAAAAGAATGAAAGATAAAGAGGAACCCACTACATGAACAATAGCTACCATATTGTACTATAAATCTCTTGACCTTATTCTGGTTGAAACTGCCTGCTTTGACTAACATCTCCTCATCTCTGCATCTCCTGTGTATTTTCTGACCACTAGACCATCGTTTACTAAAGACCACAATATATTTCTCTGTATTAACTTTCTTCCTTCACTTTCACACAAGAGGTATCCCTGTTCCACATACATCTAAACTAGAAGTAAAGGAGGACTCCTCTGAGAGTACCATAGAAGTGTATTTAAAAAGGAAAGTGAGTTTCTTAATGATTTTTTGTTTGTTTGTTTGTTGGTACTAGCGATCGAACTCACAACCTCTTGCTTCCCAGGCAGGTGCCCAGCCCTTTTTAATGGCTTCTGATTAACTACAGGGGTGAGAAGTTGTGAGCTACTGTAAACAGGAAAAGGAACACATGAGAAGTTGTAACTTATGACAGAATTGCAGTCACAAACTGATACTACCCAAGACCTTTCAAAATGTCAATTAATTTGGGTTTTGCCCAGGAAAAGTTCTGCTGTGATAGACACACTCATTCTAGGAATTGGCTAATGCCAAATCCCAAACTAAAACAGAAAACTTGAGCATCACGTTTTGTTAAACAATACGACATTCTTACATCTGCTTGCCTCTGTTGACATCACACAGAGAATGGAATCCATACCTGAAAAGTTATATGTGACCCTGGAAACACACTCCTAATTGCCAGCTGATGTCCCCGCTGCCACTTAAAGAACAGCCGTTGGGTCTTGGTGTCAAGCAGACAGGCCTTGTGATCTCGCATCAGGTCGTTTGTGATAAACTGGCAGTTGTTCCCCGAGTTCAGTGTGGCATACAGAAGGAATGGGTCATCCTCTGAGCTGAATCGGGCAGGAGAAAGGACATAATCACACAGATCCAGGAGGCAGGAGACAGAACTGTTCACCATGCTTTTTACTTATTTTCCTCCTTTTGTTGGAGGTGCATGTGAATTCTTGACTTACATGATCTCCCAGATGATTCCAGACAACGTAGAGGTCTGGGGCTGGTGGGTGACACTGTGCAGAACCAAGGTGCTGAGGAGAGGGCAATGATAGTGCCCAGGATAGGAGACAAGAATCCTAACCATTCTCCTTCCACACTGGTTCGTTGTGGTTTTATCTATTTTCCTTACCTACTGCAGAATACTACTTAATACACAGCAGAATACTACTAGGGCAGTGTGACACTTTCTTTTTGAAAGCCACCAAATAAACGGCTGAAACTGGCATCTTGAAGCAGCTTGAGGACAGGTGGTGGGGTCAGTCCCTGTGAGCATCTTCTGCTCTGGGAAGAGAGAGTGACTCAGAGGCTCCGACAGACCCTGAGCCTGAGGACTTACCTTGGCATGTATGTGCTCGGAAAATAGCAGTAAGTGCTTTGGCTGAGGAGAGACACTGCAGCCTGTGATAAAGGTGCCTTATATCCTGGGCCAAATGATCCAAACAGGATCATTTAAAGGTCACCTTAAGCAGGGCACAGTAATACACACTTGTAATCCTAGCACTCTGAAAGACTAAGGCAGGAAGATTCCAAGTTCAAGCTCAGCCTGGGCAATTTAGTGAGAAAGAATGAAAGAAGGAAAGAAAAAAGAGAGAAAAGGAAAGGAAAGGAAAGGAAAGGAAAGGAAAGGAAAAGAAAGGAAAGGAAAGGAAAAGGCAAGAAAAGAGAAGAGAGGGAAGGGGAGGGGAGGGCAGGGCAGGGGAGAAGAAGAGGGGAAAACTGGACTATAAATCAATGAGAAGGCCCTGGGTTCAAGCCCCAGTTCACCCTACACTGATCTATTTCAAGTGAAGTGATAAAGTGATGGGAAACAGCCTTAAAAATCTCCAGAAAAAAAAAAAAGATGGAAGAAAAAAACCCCAGAAAATTTGGAGAATTATATGGAATGAGATAATTAAAATAATGGAAATTGCTAAAGCTGGGTGAAAATTACATGAGGATTCACAACACTCAGTATTTAAATAGGCTTCTTTGGTCCATAGTAGAAAATGGTTACTGTTAAATGTTTAGATATGTAAATCCAGAGACAGAGAAGGTCAGTGAATCAGTCTTTATAAAGGAGGAGAACTTTAGCTGATGCAGTAACTACAGGCCCCACTCCGATTTCCAACAGGTTTCTTAGAATTGTAACACTGCATTTATCCAATTCTTTTTTTTTTCCTTTTTATCGGTACCAGGGATCGAACTCACGACTGCAAGACAGGCGCTTATGCCGCTGAGCTAAATCCCCAGCCCCAATCTAATTCTCTTATGTAAGAAAAATGATGACAGCAACCAACATACTGTTCTAAGAGTTTTATAGGAACTAAGTATTACCTCATTTAATTTTTGTGACAACTCCATGGAGATTATATATCCCCAGTACTGGGGATTGAACCAGACCCTTCACACTGAGCCAGTCTTTTTTATTTTGAGACAGCTCGTGCTAAATCTTAAAATGCCCAGCCTGGGTTTGACTTTCTGATCCTTACACCTCAGCCTCCCAGAGTGCTGGGATTACAGGTGTGTGCCACCACATCCTGTCTGAAGATTACATATGAGGAAAAGAAGACAGAGAAGGGAAACACCTTTCCCAGAGAAGTGGCAAAGCTGTGGTCTGAACCACACCTGTGCTCTGTCTTCCAGTGCTGCCTAAAACGACGGATCACACATGGCATCACTTGGAGGGTGGAGTGTCTCCTCCCGGCTAAAGAAAAGGATTTGGTTTGAGACTAGAATGGGCAAGTGGCCTCCTGCTTCATTCACTAAAAACTGTTTCACTTTTCTGAGAACAAATGCTCAGGAAATAATGACAAGACTTGAAGCTACAGCACATCTCACCTAATGAAACCCAGGCTTAGGGGTCTCGTTATCCATGAGGATTTGAATTAAACTTGGCAGCACCAGCACTATGAAAACCTAAATGCGCATTAAAGATTCACATGCACTGCTGCACATCCACGCTTCTCCTCATTCGCTGCTTTCTTCTGACTTTATGGACCCTGCACATTTTGTTATGGACCAGGATTTCCACGTTTCTTTGGCTGCCTGGGAAGCTGCAGCTCACTACCAATTTTCCCTTTCTATAATAGGATCTTACTTGGCCATGTTGAGGTTTTTAAAAGAAGCTCTTTCTGGCCAGTGCTTAAAACTAAACCCTGTGCACTTCACACAGAATGCCAAGTGTCCTGCATAGAAGATCCATTCTTGTTACAGCGCTCCCCTTTTCTAACTTAGTCTTTAAAAAGTAAAATCTCAAGCCCAGACCAAGGGGCACTGTCTCTGGGACACAGGGGAAGGGCCACTGGGGAGCCACCTGCTCCCCCCTGGTGGCTGCACAGAGTGACAAGTCCCTTAGCAGTGCCTTCTCCTTCTTCTGGTCACCTGCAGACAAGCCCATCTCTGTCCACCTGGGGGAGGAGGCCTCACAGCCCCAGGTACACCTTAAACAGGGATCTTGAAGAACTCAAGGACACCCATGTGTGCATTTGAAGCATCTTTTAAAATCATTTTATATTAAAGAGCTCTCCCTGTCTGGTGCCACCAGTTCCCACACCGAATGGAAAAGCAGAGACTGCCAGCACTTTGCTCAGCCTTGTCCTCATCTCCCTGATGTGCTGCCCCTTTACCCCTCATCCCTTCTGTCGCCAGTGGATGGTGGAGGGCATATGCAGTCCTGTGTGATCCCATGACCATTTTTTGTTTTTTAATTGTCTTTCCAATTAAACAGGTATTTGGAAATTGTAGAAAAAATTAAATTCTCACCAATAGTTGCTGTTAATAAAAGATTTGAATATTAAAAAAAAATAGGATCCAGGCCTCTTGCTTGTATCCAGGTCCTCTGAGTTCTTCTGTAATATGATCCCTGCCTCCTCTGTTACCTCAAAAATTTTTGCTTTCCCTGTTGCAGTTGTTCCATCCACACTGGCCTGTTGACTGTGGTCATAAATACCAGGTGCATTCCTGCCTGGGGCTTCGGAGCCGAGCTGCATCCTCGAGCTGCAGGGATGTGCTTCCCACCACACCTCCCGCTCTGTAGGGTGCTCCCTTCTAGCAGATGAGCCCCTCTGGAGCTGATCCTGACCACGCCAAAGCCACCCTTCCGTCTGCCCCAACCTGAGCCCTCCCTGTGTCCTGTGCCTTCTCACGGCCCTGAGGAGTACTGCTAGAATGACACTGCTGCCCACCTGTCACCTGCTTACTGCAGGGTCTCGGCGTGTTCACTACTGTTCACTATCCATCCTTTTTCAATCATCTTCCCTAATTAACCAACCCCTAATCCTTACATCAGCCATTACATCTGTTCTACTAGGTGGATGAGGAGGGCTCAACCAAACACAATTACGAAAAATCATAGCGTACTCATCAGTTGCCCACATAAGTTGAATAGCAGCTATTCTACTTACACTACTAAACTTCATTATCTACTCCCTTCTAACAGCTTCTATATTGTCTTTTCCTCCTCTTCCTCTTTCTCTTCCTCTTCCCCTGCCCCCTACTCCCCTCTATTTGAATCTTACACATAATAGACAAAGTTAATAACCCATCATTAACCATTAAAACAATAGGACTACGAATATACAGATTATAAAGAATTCAATTTTGATTATTATATAGTACCTACAGCTGATTTAAAACCTGGAGAACTCCCACTACAAGTAGATAATCAAGTTGTTCTTCCCATAGAAATACCAATCCGTATATTAATTTCATTAGAAGATGTACTCCACTCATGAGCAGTACCGTCCGTAGGGCTTAAAACAGATGCAATCCCAGAATGCCTAAACCAAACTACCCTCACATCATCCTGCCCCGGGTTATACTACGACCAATGTTCAAAACTCTGCGATTCAAATCACAGCTTTATACCCAATGTTCTTGAAATAGTACCACTAAAAGAATTTGAACACTGATCATCATCAATAGTATAACATTATGAAGCTGTCCTAGTGTTAACCTTATTTAAGTTAAAGATCAGAGGAGCATTTCCTCCATAATGAAATGCCACAACCAGACACATCAACATGATTTACCGTTATCTTATCAGTAATTATCTCCCTATTGCTACTTTTTCAGCTAAAAATCTCATCTCACCTATTTAATTTAGAACCCAAAACAACCCATCAAGAGAGAACAGAACAAAAATCACCTTGAGAAAACAAATGAACACAACTTTGCCTCTTTCATTATACCTCCATTAATGGGAATTTCTCCTTTATCCTGATTTAAATTTATTCTGCTATAGAAACTATATTTTTGTAAACTGCCTCAAATCTTTTTTTTTTTTTTTTAATGAGATCGAATCCACATATATACTTTGTTTTAGAGGTACTGGTGGTGGAACCCAGGGCCTTTGTGCTGATCTATCTCACCAGCTCTCTACACCTTGGCCCCCAACCCCTGCCCTTCGGTTTTTGAGACAGGGTCTTGTTAAGTTGTCCAGGCTAGACTCAAACTTGTGATCCTTAAACTTGCCATCTTCCTGCTTTAGCCTCCCAGAGTGCTAGGATTACTGGTGTGTACCATCATCCTTGATTTATTATCCTTTCTTTCTTTCTTTCTTTCTTTCTTTCTTTCTCTTTCTTTCTTTCTTCCTTCCTTCCCTCCCTCCCTCCTTCTCTCTCTCTCTTTCTCTCTCTTTCTCTCTTTCCTTCCTTCCTTCCTTCCTTCCCCCTCGGGGGAAGGCAGGCTACTGAGCTAAATCCCCAGCCCTTACACGGGTTTTTTTTAAAATGGCAAAAGTAAGTAATTAACAAGCTGATGACTGGATCCTAGTGTTATTGACCTGTTACCTCCAATACTTACATATCATCAGCAAAAAAACAATAGGCTTGCTTTTGCACCTTTTCCATCTCACTGCTTCTCCACCGGGAATTTCGGGCTAGCATGTGCTTCCGGCCCAGCACCAGCAGTTGTAGATTCTGTTTGGCCAGCAGAGATACCACTTCCAAGAGCTAAAAAACACAAAGCCAGCACCAAAAGGGTCAAGAGAAAAATCTCAGTCACTTAGTGGCAAGGTAAGGGATAAGGAAACAGTCCTGAAAGTTTTCCATCCTTGAAAGTTTGAATAAAATCTTTCCCCATTACAAATTAATGCTTAACCCCAGTCTGGTATGATCACTTTAGATCCAGGGTTGGGTTTTTAAACAGAGATAAATTCAGTTATTTTTAAACTGAGTTCCCTAGAATTCACTGGGTTAGGGTTAGGGTTAGGGTTAGGGATAGAGATAAGGAGGCTCAAAATGGGTAGGGTTTTATTCCTATCACTTCCAACACTGTTTCAACCCAAGTAGATACACTTTGGTATATTCATATGTTCTATATACTTAGATTGGATTTGCATCTACTCTGCTGTGTTACTAATCTTATTTTAGAAAGGAATAGTTGGCTTTATTACCCTAATTATTAGTTCTAAATTAAGACAGATTGGACACAACTGGCTCAAAAAACACGAACCAATATTGACTTGAGCAGAGAAGAATAAAGACCAGTGAGGCAACCCCGAACCCAAAACTTTACAGCTGGTAAAATGGTAGCTGTTTTCCTCAGTTAGGAATAATGGCTTCTGTATTCCTTCAACAGGTACTTCCCAATCTTGTCTATGCGGAAGATCCCTGGGAGTTATTACAAAAATAACACAAAAATTTAAAGACATGGTCCTGCTTTGAACAAGGGAATGCCTAATATCAAAGCTAGAAGGAAAATACATATATGATACTGAAAATGGTTAATAAACATTTTCTTATTAACTGAACAATATGCCCAACATATACCAGCTCATATTAAAACATGAGACACATTCTGCAAATGATAGCACATGTTTATAATCCCAAAACTCAGGAGGTTGAGACAGGAGGGATTCCATGAGTTTGAGATCAGCCTGGGTTACACAGTGAGTTCAAGGCCAGCTTGGACTACATGGCAAGACTGTGTCTCAAAAAAACAAAACCTAGGGCTGGGGATTTAGCTCAGTGGCTTAAGGCTTGCCTGGCAAGTGTGAGGTTGTGAGTTTAATCCCCGGTACAAAAACAAATAAAAACAAAAACAAAAACAAAACCTAAACCAAACCAACAGAAAAAACATGAAAAATATAGACTACAAGATAAAAGAAAAAAACCTTCATAGTTTACTACTAAAAGAACATTAATGCTTGTTAGTCTTTTTATTTTATACATTTTATATACTATTATAATCTATTATTTTAAAAATGGGATAGTATCAAGAACAAACATTTATACTAAGAAAGTATGATGCATAGACTCAGATACCTCAAAAGGCAGTCATAGTGCCTTGTTTTAGAATTTATTTATTTTATTATTTTAAATAGGAGCCTCACTAGTTGCCCAGGCTGGCTTTGAACTAGTCTTTCCCCAGCCTTAGCTTCTCAAGTACCCAGATGTGTGCCACTGCCTTGCCTCCACTTATTCCTTTCTTAAAGCTATGCTAAGATTACAGATTATTTTCAATGAGCCTGGAAAGAAAATGGCAACTGACCTTATTAATTAGGGTGACAATTATTTTTAAAATTTCCCCGTGAATTCTCATAAAGACACAAAAAATCCAAACAAAGATGCATTTCTGATACTGGTCAGTTAAGTTTCTATGTAGCTAGCAAGACACAATTTAAAGAAAAACGTAACTAGGTTTTGTAGCTATACTGTGGTTCAGATAAACAGCTCTGAGTTTACTAATAGTAAGTAAAGGTAGGGGCTCAAGAAAAAGCAGAAAAATCTTAGTTAGCTACTCTGGGACACCATCTTGTGGCTGAGAAGTCTCTATTAACAGCGGCTTTCCAAAGACAGGAAAATAAATAAAAGACACAGGAAAGACAAATGAGTGGGCAGAAACCTGTGACAGTTCAGCTATAAAAAGCTCACTTCCTCTGGAATAAATTCCAAAGTGAGACCCAGTGTGCTGGGTCATAGTCATTTGAGGTGTGACTGAAAACTATGGTGAATGTTTAGGTTTTAAAAATTTATCACAGTGAAAGACACTGCCATTAATCTTCCTCAAAGATACTCCCCTTTGTTTTGAACACACTTATATGCTGTTCTTACCACCTATGGAGACTGTCCTGGAGGTTCTCTTTCATCAGTCTCTTTGGTTGCACTGCTATGGCTGCCTCAGTGTCCAGATTGGTTTGAAACATTTACCTTTCATGGTCATTATGACTTTGGGGAAAAGCCAAAAGTCACATGGTGCCAGCTCTGGTGAATACGGTGGATGAGACAAATGTGATGTTTTTATGAGCCTGCCTTTCTACTGGCACTCACTGTATTTTTGACAGCATTTCATAAAGACAATCATGAAAAATTTCCAGAATTGCCTTAAAAAGTGGCAAGAACAATGGGATATGTGTGTATGAGGGAGGGGGGTTTAATGGCAATGTATCTTTTACTGTAACAAATTTTTTTTTCTTTTTACTGGTACCGGGGATCAAACTCACGACCGCCTGCTTGCAAGGCAGGTGCTTATGCCACTGAGTTAAATCCCCAGCCCCACTGTAACAAATTTTTAAAAAATATTTTAAACATTTACCATATATTTTGATCATACTGCAAAGGTATATCCAGCAAAGAAACACAAATATAGCAAAGAAAAAGAAAATTTACCTTAATTCTATGTTAGCCCTAAAACAGAACTGGGAGACAGGTGTGGCAGAGCAATCCTGTAATCCCAGCACTCTGGGAGGTTGAGGTAGGAGGATCACAATCTAAACCCATTTTAAACAGTTTAGCAACTTAGCTAGAAAAGATACATAAAATGACTTTGAAAGCCAGAGAAAAAATGACAAACTGACTAAGATCTCAGCGTGCTGAGTTATGCATGGTAAAGCGCCCCCACTCCTCCCCGCCCATCTATCTCAGACTTGGAGATGAAGAAGTAGTAAGTCAATGCGTACAAATGAAGAAACAAAACAAAACCAACATGCCAAAGGCCTCTTCTCTGTATCCAAGGACCAGGAAAGAGGTGGTCTAGTGGATGGGAAACTTGGTGAAACGATAATATGAATAGACTGTGATGCATGTCCATAGTGATACGAAAATGCTGTGTACAACATGAAATTAGAAAAAAGAAAAATGCCTCAGTAAGGAGAAATAGAAGTGGAATTTTAAAAAACACACTGGAAGAGAGTCTCTTCAACAAATGCTGCTGGGAAAACTGGCTGTCCACATGCAGAAGACTGAATCTAGGCCCATATCTTTTTACCATGTCCTAAACTAAATAAAAATGGATCAAAGATCTCAATGTTAAAACAAATATAATCTGCTCAACAAATATAATCAAACAGGAAAAACTATTGATGACATAGGCACAGCCAACAACTTTCTGAACAGAACCCCAGTGGGACAAGAAATATCATCAAGAATCAGCAAATAAATGGAAATATCAAATTAGAAAGCTTCTGCATAGCAAAGGAAACAACCAACAGAGAGAAGACAACCTACAGCATGGGGAAAAAAATTTGCCATCTACATCTTGGACAAAAGCTTAATATCTAGAATATGTAAAGAACTAAAAAAAAAAAAAAAAAAAAAACCTAGATCTCTCAAAATAAAAGACCCAATCAAAAAATGGGTAACTGAAATGAACAAACACGTTTCAGAAAAAGTCCAAATGGCCAATAAATACATGAAAAATTGATCAATATCTTTGGCTATTACAGAAGTACAAATTAAAATTATATTCAGATTCTACTTTATTCTAGAAAGAATGGTCATCGTTGAGAAATCAAATAATAACAAATGCTGGGAAGGCTGTAGGAAAAAAGGAATCCTTCCACATTGTTGGTAGAAATGTAAACTAACACAACTACTATGGAAACCAGTATGGAGATTCCTCAAAAAACTAGAACTAGAAATTCTGTTTACTCAGCTATTCCCTTGCTAGGCATCTTCACAAAAGCACTAAAGACATCATATTATAATGACAAATGCACATGATTATGGAAGCAGAGCTCATAATATCTAAACCTTGGCATCAGCCTATGTCTATATATATCCATCAATAAATGAATACATAAAGAAAACATGGTGTTTATATACAATAGAATATTACTCTGCCATAAAGGATAATCTTGAGTCATCTAGGAAAATGGCTGCACCTTGAGACCATAATGTTAAGTGAAAGAAATCAGACACACATGTTTAACATAGCATGATTTCTTTTACATGAGAAATTCTATATACAAATAGAGCAAAATAAAAGAGAATAGGAAACAGATCTTTTCCAAAAGGGAAGGAGACCAAGAGATGGAAGGAGTAGGAAGGGAAGGGAAAGGAAGAAGATTAAAAAAACATTAAGTTGTGTTATGTACATGGACTCCCCACAAAGAATACGACGATCACTATGTGCTGCAAATCTGTACCAGTAACAACACGTCTGAGTAGCCCACAAAAAGGCAGGAGAAGTAAGAGAGGGAAAAAGCCCAGTGACTATAATGGCAAACATTTATTAAAAGGAGAGTTAGATTCATATCAATCCTACATGTTAAAAACATGACCCAATTATATGCTAGCTACAACAAATTCATTTCTGATTTGGGGTTTTTGTTGTCTATATTCCCTACTATTTTACTCCATCCTCAAGATATTGTCTAAAGGATAATTCTCTAAAAATCAGATTAAGAAAAAGTTTCGAATTTATATTTGGTTCAAACACTTTTTGATGTGTCTTCCACCTTAATTTGGTTTGTCTCCTGTGGAAAGAGGTAAGAGAAATTTTTTACAATTATAAGTCACACTCGCCTTTAGCATAAAGCTAAGTTTAGGGTAGAAATATAAATGGAAGGGCAGCATGTGGGAGGAGAGCTGCAGAGTTGCTCCGGAAGTAGAAAAGCTGGTTTGGAGGCAGGAGAAGCCCATAAGGGCAAGGTCTTTCCTGAGGGATCCTAAATAGCACATACAACTTCCTTTCTCCATCCTTAGAACTTTTTACCTTCCCCTCTCCAGGC